GGGATCAAGACAACAGTGAGAGGGGTTAAAAGTTCTCTGAATGAATAAATCTTGGGCATCATTTTGAGTGTACCTGTGGAAGGGATCTGGTCCATTGAAGGATGCAAACACTCTACTGAGTTTGCCCAATAAGCCACCAAATGTGGGGACATTAAACGTGTAGGACTACCTAAGAAATTTCTAAGAGGAGAGTACCAGTTGATGTTTGAGTTCATCAACAAGGTCTTGGTACCAAGGACTGAGCAGAGAACTGTAGCATCTTCTGTTGATTTGTTCCTTATGGAAAAATTGGATGAACTTAAGGCCATCAATCTTCCTGCAATTATGCTCTAACACATGCACAGAGTGATGACTTGGAAGACCGCCAAGCATGGCATTTCTTATGGATATATGTCGAACTATGTGTTCAAACACTTTGAAGTACCTCTTGGTAGAGGCGTACATGGTACTGTCAAGCAAATGTTCACTGTTGTAACTCTCTTGGAGTGTGAATATGCTGAGGGAAAGGCAAATGGTAGGTCTCATGTGTCAGATCTTTTTTAGCAACAAGCATCTCCCAAACATGAATTGACTTATCTTACCGTTATCCTGAATGCTAAGGAGGTTGAGATTGCACAACTTAAGGCTCAGTTGCAGAGGACCATTTCCAAGGGACTTGGTACTAATTTAGTGGATGAGAAGGAGGCCTAAAAGTTGAGAGCTGAGAATGAGCTGCTGCTGAAGACAAATGCCTCATTCAGTGAGGAAGTCCAAGCTCTTAACAAGAAAATCATTCAAGCTCATGTCGATGCAAATGAGCGGATGAATTTGCTGATGAAAACCTTCACTCCCCTTCCCCCTCCATCCTAAATGTCTAATGTCTCCCTATCATCCTGTCTTTCTATCTAACTCTAGTGGCAAAGTGTATTTTTTTGGCTGATTTATGTGGTCAACTCAGTGATCTAATGATATTGTCTCTTGTGGCTTGTCTCATATGCATTTATCTTCTCTATTTCTGCTTACTTGTGCATGTACTGTGTGGCCTATGACCCTGAATTCCTAAAGTTTTGCATGCAGCTTGTGTATTTTTACTGCTACTCCTTTTCAATGATGTCAAAAGGGGGAATTTGATTGTGAAATTAGAGTCTAGTGGGAGAGAGAAGAGGGGATATGGATAGGAATGCTATTGATAGGGGGAACTAATCAAACAGGGGGAATACTACTAATAAGGGGGACTGATGTATTTTGAATGAATGTTTAACCCATGTGAGGTAGCATAAAGCTTGTTTGTCATCATCAAAAAAGGGGGAAATGATAAGTCTTACTATTCCCAGATGTTTTGATGATCTCCTCACAAATGCAGGGACCTGGTCCTCTGCAGAGTATTCTCGTCCAGGTCTGTGTGATATACAGCTGGAAAGCTGTCACATCAGAGGTTGGTGAGGTATTCAGTGTACCACACCAATCAAAATGGACAAGGTTATTTTGTCCAACGGTCAATAACTCTTTATGGTTGATATAGTCAACATGACAAACAAAAAATCACACATTCATTCAAAGAGAGAATATTCAAGCTTAACAAAAACAGCAAGGGACCTCATAGACTGATGAATTACTTCCTGAACAAGCTGTTATTTTGATTGGTTGTATTTGTGTTTACATTGTAGGATTCGTTTCACATGTGTTATAAACGTTACAATCCTTGGATGAATCACTGTAAGAGCTTAGTTGAGAGAAACTTTGTGTCTTACGTTAAAAGTCTATATTAATCAGTTGGGTTAGTATAGTGGCCAATGCAGGAATTGCTTTGGCTCATTGAGTGATAGTGTATTACTCAGAATAGAGATTAAGAGGTTAATCTCATGTGTGTTGTAAACTGTGTTTTACTTTTGCTTGAGAAGATTAGTAAAAACAGTTTGAAAATCATGTGAGACAGGTCGTGGATTTACTCCTTTGAGCAAGGAAGTTTCCACGTAAAGTTGCGTGTGCTATCTTTACTTTCAGTATTTTCTTCTGTTTATCTTAACTGTGCTAAGGACCTGGTCCTATCGTAACTAGTGGACGCATACATTCCAACAAAAAGTCTTAAAGTAGAAAGATGATAGAGTTTGAGGTTAATGGTAAAGAAAAGTATATATTCTGTCACGACCCGAGGGCACCCCCTAGTCGTAACCGGCGTACTCGACCTCTCGGAGGTCTAATACAAGCCTCTTAGCATTCATTCATCGCATAACACTAAAAACATAATGAATTTAAAACTTTCTTTACCAAGAAAACATTTAAATAAAAAAGTAGCAAGCGGAAGACTTTCTAGACTTTATACATGATGTCTCA